ACTTTTATTATAGGTGTATCCACTATCCGCACTACCTATATTTGTCATGATATTATTTTCTCTTGCAAAGGAGTTAAATTGTGGTATAATTTTGTTTTTTATCTCCAAAATGTGTCATAAAATATATATAGCCAGTGGTAAGACAGCAAAATTTGATACATTATTTTTTTTAATTTATACATCAAACCAGACAAGCCCAAATTATAAAATATTAAATAGTAAATAGTAAATATGGTAACAAAATCTTAAAATATTCTCTAACAACTGTAAAGCGATATGCTAAATTAATATTGAAGTATAACTAAAATAAATGTACTAAAAAAAATAGGGTTTTAAAATTCACAATATTATGGAACGTTTTTGTTCTCACTTAGCATATTAATAAAACGTATAATAAACCATAACAAATATGCAAATGCATACAAGTCCCTGGCCCTTGAAATTTTTTCTGCGATGTAAGTAGATTTTTCTATTCCCATCTAATGTACCTAATAATAATAATATGTAAATCAAAATAGTACTAAACTGTATTGAGTAAATATTGACACACTCATAAATATGTAAAAACTGGCATAGTAAAATTGTATAGATAAGGAAATGCACAATATTATTCATTATAGCGAGTAAAAATAAATTAATATTCAAATATAACAATCATACTATTTTTCATTATCGACAGAAGTAGATCGTAAATATTATATATTATTATCATGCATTTGTCGCATATAAGATGCACAGAAAATTAGATCCTATACCTAGACGTCAGTCTACAATTGACACCTTCTATACAAACACGTCATTTTTATTTAATTTAATTTTGTTTATACTGAAATAATCATCAAGTATGAAAGGAAAGTATGTAAGTGCGTTTGATCGTTTTTTTGAACCAGAACCAAAAAAACCGTCTACTAATGCGCTTTTAAATCAATGTAACGAGAGTCAAGAACAAAGTCAATCAATGTTTTGTAGTAGTACATCGTTTGATACATGTAACATCGTGAGTACCAGTTTTAATGATATTGGATCGGTTTCAAAGTAATTTGTCAATTTATTACCAACGGTATTTTTTAAGTATTTAATATGTTTAAAATTCGTTGTATATTCCAACAAAGTTTTATTTTTAGTAAAATTATATTTTATTTTAGGCGTAATCTAAAGAAATGCATGGGGCGTTTATGTAAATACTACATATACTATAATATATTTTCAAGAAACGGGTCGTGAGATTTCAGTAGCGTTCTTCACTTTTAGCAGGTGTAGAAAAAATATGTTTTGCAATTTCATTATACTCTTCTGTGAAAATAATTTCACTCTTCCATTGTCATATTATTCGTAAAATCCAATTTGCATTATCTTTTATCTACTTAAAAAAAAAAAAAAAAATCGTTGTTTTATATAAAGTGGTGATCGCGTGTGACATAAACATTTCCACTTTGGAGAACATTTTTTTAATCATAAATAAGTAGGTATCTGTGTTAATTAATAAATAACCATTAATGGAATGGAATTGAATTGTAGGAATTAGGTAAATTTTACATATTATTCGTTTCTATAGTGATATTTTAAATGATCCAAATTATGTTTTGATGCTAAAATTAATTTTTTTTGGATTTCGAATATTATACAATTATCGGTATATTTATTCTCGTAATTCACCTGAAAAATATTATAAAATATCTATTTTTTTACAATATTTCATTTTAAATTTGGAAAAAAGGTTTGATTAAAATAAAGACATTTAATCATCTCAACATTTATTTTAAAAATAAAGCCTATAATTTATTATTATTATGATGTACCCATTGCTCAATGTTAATAATTATAATATTAATAAATACCGATATTATTAATTGTATTTCTTTGTATAATATTTATTCTGTATTTTATTTGTATTTGCATTTTATTTACATAATAAAACGTTAAAAGTTAACTTTTAAAAATTCATACAAAATTTCAAAACTATTTGGATAATTTGTAATTTTTGAAAATTGACCCCCCCCCCCCCCCCCTAAAAAAAATATAATAATAAATTATTCCTGGCTACGTGTTCGCAAGTCCGAATACTATTATCATCTTATTCGTGTCAATTATCATTCATAGAGTTTAATCAGAACGATTATTTTGTAAGATGAGCGAGTAGGTTGCTACCTAACGTATATTATAGTATGACGGTCAAAAATCGTTTGCAGACTCATTGCCGGCACAATACATACATGCGTAACAAATCCGTGAACGATCTGTTACCGGCGTCCCTTCGAGTCCCCCCCCCCCCCATAACCGTTTTTCGTCCGGTTCTCGCAGAACAGTCAACCGCACTCACTCGTCCGAATGTTGAGTATCCCTGCAGCGCCCGACCGGTACGGGCACGATCAATAAAGCGAGACACGCGGCGCGTCGACGGCGGCGGCACAGGACGACGACACGCCTTTTTTGCTTCGCCCCAAAACGTCGAGGTAAAATATAACGATAATTATCATCATCACGCGTTTCGCAGTCGTTCCCCGGTTAGGGTTCAGTGGCAGTCAGACCGTGGCCGTCGAACGTGTGTTAAAGGACCAGGCAACAGTATTGTCATTGGGTTAGAACACCGCCGCAGACACCAACGCGCGTTGTTATAATATAATTTATAATAATATTATAATCATTATTCGTCCAGCGAATCACCGCAAATGCCTTACAGACAAGGGAAAACGTTAGTCTACTACGTAAGCACGGTTTTGATTAAATCTGTTTTTTTTTTGTATGCACTACACGTGACTTTGTTCAGAGTTTGGGGACGCATGTCCTGCCGAGCTCGTCAAATTTGCCCACCCGGCTCAAACCGCACCCGTTTTTGTTTCGCTCACACTATTATAGAGCATACACTTGCCTTCGAGGCTTGCTAATGACACGTCTTCATAATATATAAATTGCACACATTATATTTATTAACTGTTACATATTGTATTACACAATATTGTATAGTACCTACCTAAAACTGTCACACGATCGACGTGAACCGCTAAACTTGGCTTCCCATGCAGCAACAGGTCGTCGCGATGTAGCTTATATTTTTGGTGGGTATAGCGGGCTCTTAATATGTTTTTTTCTCACCGTCAAAATTTAAAATTCTGTTTTTACGGTCACGCACAGTAACACGGATAGGTTGTGCCTTGTAGGTTAGATACCTACATATCATAGAGTTACAACTTCCAACGGTACAAGACCGAAACGCTTATTTTTTCTCATTCAATATTGTATATATTGCGTCACTGCGACAAACTGTATTATGCAATTGCAAGTTTTTATATTATGACGTTTCAATGTGTTTATTGAACTTAATTTATAGTTTGCCTTGTTGAGCTACTGCACTGCGTTAATACGCATTCACGCAAATTAAACGACATTTTTGTTGATTGTTGTTATTGTTGTACCTATTATATATTTATCAACCGATATAAAGGTGTTAGTTTAGTAGAAATTCTAATGTTGATGAAGTTATGTAGGTACATAATATTATGGAGGTTTTCATAACAAGGTTTTCATAAGTATTTTAACATATTACATAAAAATGTTTTTGGGCTGGGTACAGATATTTTATTTTTCTAACAGATTTTTTCTAACGCTTTGTTTATCAGTTTATCGCCATAGAAACGAATAAAATGTAAAAATGCCCTCTAAATATACCTATTATATATAATTTATTAAATGGTTACTTATTAATACATATTATTAATGATTCATAAAATTTCTTCAAAGTGGAAAATATCGAGTAAGTACCTAGTGTGCTACGTATATGTCACACGATCACCACTTTATATAAAACGACTAAAAATAAAAGAACAAATAATAAGATAATATATTTTTTTCATAGTTTATTGAACATTATTTTGGGCACTAATGACTATTATATTAGTAACAATCTACACCAATAGGGACTGTGGTAAATAGGTACGGAAATTAGATTTAATTGTCTGAATTCGTATCGTAAACGTTGTTGATTGCAAATTTTTTGCTGTGAATATTAAATTAATTGTTAATAGTAAGTTGTTAAACATTATAAATTATCAAACTCAACAAACGACAAAATACTATATTATAATATTATGGTAATATTGCTTGTGCTGACCGTGAATGAAATATTGGTATATTTTTTACATATTAAATAATAAAATATAATATAGGTATCAGCCATTAGGTATTTATATACTATTATAATATTTAATATATATATTTTTGTAAGCTCGAGTTTTTAAACAAAGTTTACAATTACAACAGTCATGTGAGCAAAACGTTAAGAGGACGTCACACCCGCATGAGTGTGTTGTCTCTGTATTATAAATATTTTAAAGTGATCAGGTTTGAGAACATTAGGTTGTTTTCATTTAATTATTAAAAATTATTGGTTAGTGCTATCAAAAAAAAAAAAAACGAAAACATTACGACACAGATAAAGGTAAAGTTCTTCCCTGTGTGTGATGGAATTTTGATAATTCTACTATAAATACAGAGGGAGTAAAGTTGTCCCGCGAAAAACAGTTTTTCTAAGTTGTATTCATTTGTAAGACGGAGACAACTCGTGGCGGGTGTGACGTTCCCATAATGAGTAATTATAAACTTAAGACGATGACATTTTAACAGTTTGACAATATTGTGAAGTGTTAATATTAAAACAGTCATAATATAATATTTATAAAGTATAAGTATTTTATATAATGTACAATGTGAAATGCACGTTATATTATATAATATTTTCATAAACCTAATTCAATAAATAATGAGCCGAAACTTTTAGCCTGTCAGCTATTATACCGTTATAACTCCACAGGGGAATATTGACCTTTACTTTAATGAAATGCAAATTATATAATCACAAAAAAAAAGACAATAATGGATGTTTTAATGTTTGCAATATACCTTCCTAATATAAAAGTGTTACTTGATCGTGGTTGGTGAAAAAAATTGACTACATTTTGTTAAATAAATAAATAACTTTAATAATTGTATTTTAAATGTTTAAGATTGGCGAACGGGGTTCTGGTTTTCGACCAAGAGCTGGAGATGTCCAGGACTTCGAAGTACTTAGGGACCAATGCTTACAACGAGGAGCACTTTTCGAGGATCCGGATTTTGATACAGTTGACTCTTCACTATTTTATAGCAAATCGCCAGATAAACGGTTCGAGTGGCGAAGACCAAGCGTGAGCATAGATTTTAAATACCTAAATTATATTATTAACAGTAACCATTTAAGTGACTATTTAATTGAATAACATTAAAAATTGTATCCTTAGGAGATCGCAAGTAATCCTCAATTATTTATTGAAGGGGCTTCAAGATTCGATGTACAGCAAGGAGAATTGGGTAAATGGAATAAAAACTTTATTATTTAAAACTGTTTGCGGTACCTATTTATTGTGATATTTAATTAGGTACATAAAAAAATTAAATGTATAAATTATAAATTAGGTCGATACTCTAAGTTTCATACAAGTCTTCGTTATTTTGACAGGTGACTGCTGGTTGTTAGCTGCTGTTGCCAATTTGACTTTAAACGAAAAACTATTTTATCAAGTAGTACCAAATGATCAAGGATTCGATAATAAATATGCGGGTATATTTCACTTTAGGTAAATATATTATTATTATTAGTTGTAGTAGTATTAACGTTTGTATCGTATTATATTTATTGGTTGTTTTAGATTTTGGCAGTATGGCAGGTGGGTTGACGTGGTTGTTGACGACCGTTTACCGACTTATCATGGAAAGTTAATATTTCTTCATTCAGCAACTGAAAATGAATTCTGGAGTGCTCTGTTGGAGAAAGCCTATGCCAAGTAAGCTGTTTATTATTAATATATAAAAACCACTGAAAAGCCAATACCACCGGTTTCAGGTATTTCTACAACAGCTATATCTACCAATAATGCAATATTGCAATGTAAGGTTTTTATATAATGCGCAATCCGCATTTTTGATTTCTGCCTGTCAAAATATAATAATAATATAATTTATATAACTAGGTATCGTAGGTACCTATTAACTATTATCGTGTAAAAAAAACTAATAATCTTTGTCTTTTCGTTGTTAATAGTTGAGAGGTGCAACCCCCTCACAACCATGTTGCTTTAAAATTGTGATACCGTAAGTAATAACATTGTTAAGACAAAACAAATTGCTAAAATTCTATAGCTATAACCTGTTTCCTGAGAGCTTAATATTCTTAATATTCCTTGCAAAATGCATTAGTAATCTAGGCCCTAAAGCCAGATTTGAATGCAAAATGCATTATTATTTTTGGGAAGTCCCAAGCAATGTTGTTTTAGTAGGTGCAAAAGCTGTTTCATACACCATATAATAGAAAACTTAAACTTTTATTTTACATTTCCCCCCCACTTGTTGCAGATTCCTTGTTTTTAGAGCTTTTTTTTTATAAGTTTTAGTTTAAAACATTTTGTTAATTTTTAGTGCATAATTATACATTATAATATGCATTTTTAGATTAAATTAATCGAAAATTCAAAATATTAGCTCGAGAAAATTTTTTCCGACTATATTTTATCATTTGCCAATCGTACTATTTAATATTTCGATAGATACGTCAATATCGTCTTTATCTATATACCGTGCGATTAACAGCTATTGTGCGTCTGGGACTGAAAGTATCAAACCTGTGGTAACAACTAATTGGTCAGTTAGTGTTACATTGTAATCGCGTTTATTTCGTTAAGTAAATGTTAAAAATTGTTTGTTTCATGGTTTTAGATAATTTTTTGCCATTTTTTTGAGTATTTTTGGATAGTTTTTAGAGCATTCAAATTTTAAATTCGTCTCTTCAGTTATTACCATAGAGAATAAATGTGTTTTGGTAGGTACCTATAGTTTTAATTTATCATTAAAGCTATTACAAATGGATATGATTTGGTGCATTTTAATATTATTAGTTATTGCTTTACTATAATATTATTTACTCAAACTCATAGTTATTAACATCTATATAATATTCTATAACACAAAATGTATCCAACTTTCTACTTCAAAGATTCAACTCTTAAATTACTTTATCTGGTATAATTTTGACGTTGACATATCAATAAGACAAATCCATTTAGTCTATTCTGACCCCACATGGGTAAGATCTCACACAGATCTTTTGACTAATTATAGTTAAATTATAGCTATTTTATTAAAATTATAATTTAATAGTTATTTAAGCATTAAGAATACCTACGTATAGGCTATATTAGCTATTTATTATTATTGTTATTTGATATAATATTTATAATATTACTCAACATTAATTTAAAATAGTTGATTTTCTGAATTCTAAAAATACGAATATATTAACAAAATAATTGAAATAATGAATTGATTAATTAATATCAAGTAATTTGAACAATCATAAAAAAAAAGGTCAAGAGAGGTTTCACCACTTCCCCCACCATAAATATGCTACTAGCTTAATAATATTAAACCTACCTATATCTAAATACCACATGATACCTATTCATGATTGCAATAACCTCTTAAGTCATAACTGTAATTTTAATGTTTTTATGGCGAATAATTTTATTTTGTCAGTCATATTTTATAACAATAATATTTATTGATGAATCCAAATATTGAGTAGGTACTAAAACTGTTAATTACTGTCTCTTCGATCCCATTTCTGTTTACACTATTTATAAAAAATATTGAGAATAATAAATAAATTTTATCTTCTAGAATTCATGGATCATACGAAGCATTAAAAGGAGGTAGCACATGTGAGGCTATGGAGGATTTTACTGGTGGTGTGTCAGAAATGTATGAATTAAATGAAGTGCCAGCCAATTTGTTCACGATCATGCTGAAAGCTTTTCAACGTCAATCACTTATGGGTTGTTCTATTGAGGTAAAATAAAAAAATATAAGTATTGGATTTAATAAAAGTTTGAAAAATAATTTTTATACATAATAACATTGATTATGAATAGGTACTATAGATTGCTCACTAAAGTACGAAATATGCTACGCTCAATTTCCAACGATCCTGGTGTTATTATCCAGAACTGGCAGAGTGGCGTATCGTATAACTTGGCCGCCCAGTCAGTTCTGGATAATAACACCAGAAACCGTAGTACTACATTTAGCATAGCGTATTTTGTGCCTCAGTGAGCGATCTATAGTATTTATAATCAATGATAATATATAATTTTACTTCATACAGGGTTATTATCCTTAATCACTGATTCTATTGGAGAGCTAATACAACTAGCAGAGCCTATGTTTACTCTCCCTACGTCCCAAGCATCTATTTTGATTTATTATAATTTATAGTAAAATATTAAGTATAATTAGATAAAAATAATTTTCCATTTTTATGTAATTTTAATTAGTTTAAACTGTTGATTTATCAACAATAATAATATTTTTCTTGGATGGCTATAATCTAACAGCCCTGATTTTTCCCAACAAAAATTGTACCTAATATCATTTTTTATTGTCCAGAAAATATAATTTAATTTTGTCATTTGTTATTTTTTAAGGCTGACCCAAGCGTTACTGAGATGGAAACACCACAAGGATTGGTTAAAGGTCATGCGTACAGCATAACCAGAGTAACATATGTGGACATTACAACTCCAAATACAACTGGCAAAATACCTCTGCTCAGACTTCGAAATCCATGGGGTAATGAAGCAGAATGGAATGGCCCGTGGAGTGATAAGTAAGCATGATTTAATATTCAAAGACGTTGTTGTGTTATAATATTATTGACTAGGTAGAGCATAAAAGTATTATTAATATTGATTATTATAATATTGATATAATTATTGATAAAAATTCTAAATCTTTTTTATAGATCAGCTGAGTGGAGGTTTATATCTGAGTCTGACAAACAATCTTTAGGTTTGATATTTGATGCTGATGGTGAGTTTTGGATGTCATACAAAGATTTTGTCAAATTTTTCTCTCGTTTGGAAATTTGCAATTTGAATCCTGATGTGCTAACCAAAGAACAACTTGGTGAAGACTCTAATAAAAGATGGGAAATGAGTGTGTTTGAAGGTGAATGGGTCCGAGGTGCTACTGCTGGTGGATGTCGTAATTTTCTAGGTATAGTTTTTGAAACTTTTATCAACATTTATAGTAATAAAACAATAATTTATATTTGTTGCTTTGTCTTTAGATACATTTGCAAGTAACCCACAGTATCGTATTACATTAGAAGATCCTGATGAAGAGGACGATGAGCGTAAATGTACCGTTATTGTTGCTTTGATGCAAAAAAATAGACGTGCCCAACGAAAGATAGGAGCTGAATGTTTAACAATTGGATTTGCTGTATATCAGGTATCAAAAATAAAACATAAATGTTAATCTAAAAATACATGTTTAAAATGTTAGAAATGTAATAGGTATGCAGCTTAATTATTTGAATAACATATGAAAAAAACAACATTTGTTTTAGCTCATCAACCCAGATTCTTTACCGAAACCACTTGACACAAATTTTTTTAAGTATAATGCGTCTACAGCAAGAAGTCCTACTTTTATTAACTTGCGAGAAATCAGTAGTCGTTTCAGTCTACCACCCGGTACATATTGTATTGTACCTTCAACATTTGACCCGAATGACCAAGGTGAATTTTTACTTAGAGTATTCTCAGAACATGAAAATAACATGGCGTAAGTGATAATTACTATAAGCTCTTCAAATTTATTGTTATTTTAATCAACAATATTTTTATAGGGAACTTGATGATGAAGTAGGAATGGGCGAAGTTGATGTGAAGGTAGTACTAATATGCTTTATTCATTACTGTTTATGTTAGAAATAAATAACTTATATTACATGACTATGATATTTGTTTTAGATTAAAGAACAAGAGCCTGAGCCAGATAAAGTTGATAAAGCTAATGAGAAAATTAAAGAGTTCTTCCTTAAATTGGCTGGTATTGACCAAGAAGTTGATTGGATGGAACTTAAAGATATTTTGGACTATGCTATGAGAAACGGTAGGTTAAAAACCTATAAACTGCAAGTGTACATATTCAAAATAAAATATGTACCTACTACAATACATTTTTATTTGCATATATATTATTCAAAATATATTTTTACTTAAAAGCACAACATGGGTAAATTAATACTGAAGTCTTATGAATTTAATTACATAAACATAACATAGTTTGTTTCCTAATTAAAATATAATGTGTTATACATGAAAGGACGCCACACATTGAATGGTATCTCCAATATATATTTTTTTAAAGTATGATTTTATTTACTGTGTCAATACACAAGTATTAAGTTTTACTTTTTTACTAATATTATTATTATTATTTTTTTTTATAACTATAAGCTTTGTAATCTGTAATCCGTTAGCTTTTCATTTAAAATTGTATTATTTTAGTTACCTTCATAATAAAATGAAGAATCTTAAATTCCTATGTGTTTGCTTTCAAATGTGTACTAGGTATCTTGTAAAATTTAAAATTTTTATGATACAGATTATCTTAGGTAAATATTATTTTCATTAAATTCTCATAGCAAAATTAATACAATGAATCAGTGTGTGGTAGATCTCTAAATTATAAATATAGAGTTTGATTTGTGAATAATTTAATGTTAAATCACACCCTTAACCAGCGACAATGTGTTTTGATACGCTTTTAACTGATTTGAACCACCTTTTAGAATATGTGTATATTTAATTAATCTAACTGCTTTCGTAATCATATATGTCAATTATTTTTATGACAATTTTATATGTGAAAATTTTAATTTTATAAGTTTGTATATGTTTTGGTATACAGATTTATAAATATAAACTATATAAATACAAGTAAAAAATTGTAAGAACTTAAGTCATACTTTTGTACTAGTCAAATGATATAGGTATGTTAATTCCAAAACAAAATAGTATGAATAGTTTTTTAATCATATTATTTTGCACTTGTAAATAATAATGTTATTGATTGTATGCATGAGTTTGAACCTTCACTAACATGGTTGCCCATTTGATTATACCATTTGTAGATGTGGCAAGTAATACAACTGCTGGAGATAATCTCCTTATCAACTTACTTCAGACATTCTGTGAGTCTTTCTGTCAGGGATCGCCTTTAGCGTCTACATTCAGTAAGTATTTTTTTCTTCAATTAGGATATATTTAACTAAATTCTATGTTGATATTGGTAATGTCTAGCTAGCTTAGATTAAATTACATTGTACTAAATAATTTACCTTTTCAGAAATGGAAAAAGCAGGATTCTCTAAAGATGTATGCCGTAGCATGATTGCTATGATGGATTGGGATCGATCGGGTAAGCTTGGTTTCGAAGAATTCAAAAGTCTATGGATTGATATCAGACAGTGGAAGGTAATAAATCTCAACTAATAGTAAGTAAATACATTGTTTAGAAATTTAAACTGACATTTGAGTATGAAAATATTTTAAAATGTATGTGTTCCGATTTAGACTGTCTTTAAAATGTACGACAAAGAGAGCAAGGGTTTCATAAATGGATTTGAATTAAGGCAAGCATTGAATTCAGTTGGGTACCATCTGAATACACACATCCTTAATATCATGTGTCATCGGTATGCAACCAAAGATGGAAATATAATGTTTGACGACTTCATCATGTGCGCCGTAAGATTAAAAACTATGATAGGTAAGTTAAATTTAACAATTTTACAAATTTTATAATAACACATTTATTTTCAAGAATGGTTAATTCTTGTTTAACCATCCATTTTAAATCAAAGAACATAATGAGATGCTTTGACGGCCATTCTGCTGTCCTTTGGTTTAGTAAACTATTCAAATATTTATTCAATACTAACCAGAAATACAATTTAAAAAGAAATATTGATTATTATGATCAGATTTTTAACCATATTGTATTTTTCTATATTATTCTTAAGTTTTAAAAAACTTTGTATCTGAATTTATTTAATTTGTCATAACCTAATATAAAGTTATACAATTATATTATATATTTTTTTTACATTTTTGATAAAATAATAATTTTCTTTATAATTAATATTATTGAAAACTTTTTATTTTTTAGATATGTTCAAAGAACGCGATCCTGACAACAAAAATATTGCCTCATTTACAATGGAAGAATGGGTGGAAAAAACATTGTATTCATAGATTTAAGTGTTCTTGAGTATTATTTTTTTTTTAATTATTATTACTTTTTTTTAAATGTATTTTTTTTTGGAAGTGGGTTATTAAATTTGCATAAAATGTTAACTTTTTATATATATCCTATATATATTACAGTATACTATGCATAAACACATAACCATGACTATTTAGGAGCTATTAAAAAAAAAACTGTTTTGAAATTTCCTCAGGTTCAAAATATATTCATATGCAGCTTCATCTAAAATACATTTTGAGGTCTGTTCTTATTGGTGCTTCCTAAACTTTGATATTTATTTATTAAGAAATTATAGGATTATCGACCTGTTTATTTAAATTAATTAACAGGGTCAGCCTGGAAATTACTTATATTTCCATTTATCATAAGTACAAACATATTTTAACAATGTTAATTATTTTTACTACGATTTATTGCAAAAATAAAAATAATAAAAACATTTCAGATTTATAAATTATTATATTTTTTCTATTGATTAATCATTTGAAATTTATTAGCATAATTTGAAGCTTTGTGAGTTCTTATGTAGTTTCTTAATAGCTTTCTAACATTGAGTGAAAATTTATAAAATTCATATTTTTTTGATATTCAAAGCCACCTGAATACCTAACTTTTTTAAATTAAAATTGTTTAACTAAATGTCTTGTTGTTTATCCTGATTAAATATAATTGTTTTTCTGTTTCATATTTAATATATATTATAATTATTTGAATTTTATCTTTATTTTATCTAAATGTAATTTAACATCTAGTTATTAATTAATAGAAAATAATCTTTTTATAAACTAACATTTAATTATTTACATTTTTTAATTTATAAAAAAATTTCATTTTTTTTTTATTCATTTTTTCTGGTATACTGAGTATTTATTTTGTTGGAGGCAATAGATTTTTTAAATTGTGTAATAACAAGTTTTGAGTTATATTATGGCGTGCTTATAATATATATTTTTCATTTTTATTAAATTGTTATAAAATATTTTAATCATTAATATGATTTTGTTATACATTTTATTACCTACAAGTTTAGATTTAAGTATCTAGTCTTATATTTACCTAAAATATTTTAAATTAATCAGACTCATATCTATTAAACTTTACAGCATTGGGTATATTTTTTATCATTATATGAAATGATAATAACATGATAAGTACCTATGTAGTCCAAATATTGAAGTACCTATACTACATTCATGCATATATAGATAGATTATTTAGTTATAAATCTACATTATTTTGTAGTTATTTGATACATTTTTACATAGTCACCTAGGTAATTTGTGATAAATATTAATTAAATGTGATCATCATTCTAACTAGATAGTGACATAATGGTATCATTTTATGTATTCCTGAAATTGGAAGAACATTTTACCATGTGTATGAAATTGTTAATCTGAATACAGTATTGATTTTTTAGCTTAAGTATAATATATTTTTAACTTTTTATTTGGGTACATTTTGTACATATAAATTTCATCAAACTTTTATTTAGCCAAATTAGTAATAACTACGTATTTGATATTAAGGATTACAAAAGTTAGCGGATAAAAACCATTCTAGCAAGTGATGATTAACTATAAAAGTATTAAATAGGTATGGGTAGAAATTAGGATAGTAGGTACGGTTAAAATGTTTTTGAAAAATATACAAAAAACATAATTTGATGAGACGACATCATAAGTTAAAAACATTTAATTTAAAAATAATAATAATAATAGCCAATAGGTACTCGATAGAGATATGGGCAGTGTTGGGACTTATCTAGACAATTATTTGTTCATCTTTTATCGTATCTAGATAAATAGTTACAAGGTATCTAAACGTTCATCTTGGATGATTTTTTTTTACTAATCTATAAAAATTCATCTACAGATACATTTTTTATTGATAAAAATCAGGATATTGTACAAATTCATTTTAAATATTTGTACAGATTCTCAAACCAAGTTTATGGCTTATAAATAATGTATTTATTTTTATTTATATAATTATTATTATTATGTTCCTAGTGCCTAACTAAAATATACCTAAATTTAAAACTAATTTAAAAAAAAAATACTTATCTAATCTGAACACTGGAAATGGGTGTGGTAATATGAATGTCAGAGTAATTATTTAAAATATGAATCGTAGGGGCACTTTTTCCTAAACATGTTATGAAAATATTATCAAGTTTTTGAATGTTGAATTGAGTTTATTAAATATTTATTATTTAATTATTCTATCATAATGTTAAGAATACTTTTTGTTGAAGATATACAGATGCTAAAGGCTTATAATAATAAGATCGTATATGTATAATAAAATAATATGGTATAAGTATAATAAGTATAATATTTTGTAATATAGCCAATATAGGTAGGTAGCCAGGTAGGTACCTAATAACATGTATACTGATACACAATTATAGATAGTGGCACAATGTGTAATAAAAATTAACGACGGACTAGTAACTGTGTATACAGGCTATTAAGTACAATACATGAAAATAATTAATAAATTATGCTGTTAGCGCCGCAAACAAGGCTTAGGATTTGTGTTCAATGCAGTGGCGTGTCGAAGGTATTATTCTGGAGCAATTGCTCCTTCAAAATTGGTGGTTGGTGGGTGGTCCCCCTGCCACAAAATACCTAGCCACCTAGGTGAATAGGTATATCGTAGAAATATCATATCCGATTATACAAATCGCTGCAAATGTACTCATATTTTGTAAATTTTTAATTTGAACTTTTTTGGAAATGCCATTATGAACATCAAGAGGGTGAGTGGGTGGGTAATTGTATAAATTTTTGTTCCTCACCAAAAATGAGTTCAACATGTCACTGGTTCAGTGTTGTCCATATTCGTGCAATCGTATCAATAACGCTATGCATCGTTGCTGAAGCAAGTACAGGAGGCATCGGCCCTCCAGCTAATGCGAGAGATAGCTTTATCATATGGTATAATATGCTTACCCTTGTTCAAACTTTAAAACTCTAATGTAAATTTTTCTGTTTTTCCATTGTATAATATTATGTTTAATTTTATAAGTGCAGGTCCTATACCTAGTTATAGATTATTAGGTAATAAGTTTGTGTTGTGTTACTCTGGCACACTTATAAAAGCTATCACAGACTTCGGTAATTTTTCCACAATTTATGTTGCATACCTACCTACTATTTATACCTATTACATTTTAAACCTCGAACTGAATCGGTGGTCGAGTATCATATCTATATAGGTAGTCAGTAGTCACCAGCAAATGTCTCTGTAGGGTTATTCGTACTATGGTAATTGAAATAGTTGACTGTTACCATTGATTATACAATTCTATTACACGTCTAATTATTATGAATTGATTATTATTTTTTCCCCTATATTTGAATTTCCTATTGTTACTCATGAATATATATTACTATAGTTAACGACTAGATGCGAGCTAATAGATGTTTTTGATAGTAAATATTTTACTTAAAGTATTCGATTGTTATCCTTTGTGTAATGTGTATGTCGTATGTGCACTATTTATGAACCTACCTACCTATATGAGGTTGTTGGTGTTGTAGGGTGATTGAAATATTTTACTAGCCATCCTATACACAAGGTGACAAGTGTGTCCGTCGATACACCTTATAATTGGGTAGGTGGTCATGGACCACTGTGGGTATAGTGGATAATGACCCTAAATGAATAAAAACAATATATTTAATAATCCAACCTGTGGCTTAGTATAATATAGTAAGTTAAATACGAATAGAAATACTAGGTATGTACCTACTACCTAGTAAATCCTAAATAGTAAATAGATTGGAATATTGGATGTAGAAATTGTTGCATTAATTTGTTGCAAATATGGAAAAATCACGAAAATTAGCAAATTATTTCGAGTTAGAAATTCATAAATAATTTTCTTTTTAAATCTAAAATTTGAAAATGTAATACAAGATTCCTCATAAGTTTGTCTACCTTTAACAAAAAAAAAATGTCTACAAGAAACTCAAATTAAATTTTGATGAGCATTTGAAATTCATATTTTTACAACATTTGATATTCACTCGATTTCTCATATAACGATTTTCTTATTTTGTTGTAATTAAAAAAACGAATAACTGTAAATACTTGAAAATTTCACAGGATGTTTATATAAGCATTTCCTATACACCATACAATTTTGAAAATATTTTGACTCTTTTTGAGCTGTTTTTGGAAATTTAAGTTTTCAATTTTTTTAGTTTTTTTTTCTATAAATATCAATAAAGGTTTATCTGTTGTGCCTAAAATGTAAAAACTTAACACAAGGCTCCTAATATATTGTTAAAATATCTGCTAAAAAATATTAAAAATACATAGGAACAATTTTTTTTTATAAGCATTTAAAGATCGAATTTTGACAAAATTTATCAAATTTAAAAAAGAAAAATTATTTTGTAGTTAAAAATATATAAAATGTTCAACATTTATATCTAAAGATTGAAAGTTTAAAACAACATTCCAAGTAAGTAGTTAATTCTGTTACCAAAAAATCTAAAAATACATAAGCACTTAACACAGTTTATTTGTATAGGTAGTCATTCTAAGTTCAACTTTGAACAAAATTACATAAAAAAAACCTAGAATAACTATTTTAGTTATTTTGTTGTGATTGTGTAATATTATTCGTAGGTACTTGAAATTTCTAAAGTACACTATTACATATCTATGGAGTATGAACTATGATAGTATCAGAGTTTGTTGTTAACGCATTATAAGTACCTAATGGATATTGTGATATGATTAATTTGGAATTTATTATAGGTACCTATTTGAGGTAAATATTTTTTAATACGATAGATAGGTAAGTATATAATATGCCTTATACCTAGACTGACATACCGTCTCCGCTCAGAATCGTTTTTCTGATACAATGATATTTTCAAGTATTTACAGTTATTCGTTTTTTTAATTACAACAAAATAAGAAAATCGCTACATGAGAAATCGAGTGAATATACAATGTTGTATAAATT